GGGGGGGGGGAGGAGGACAGCGCGCAGCAGATGTGCGTCGTGACCGTAAGTTGTACTGACGCTCGCTGTTGACGACCATCTGCAGGTGCCCGAGACGGACGCGACGGGCAACCTCATCCCGCCTTGGAAGCGGCAGATGCTGGCGCGCAAGGCGGCCGAGCGCGCGCGCAAGGAGATGGAGGAGAAGCTGCAGCGGGACGCGGAGCAGAAGAGGCTGTCGGCAATCCCGGCCTGGAAGCGGCAGCTCCTCGCCAAGAAGGAGGAGGTCACCGACAAGTACGTTTGAACGCAACTCGCCGCACAGGTGGTGTCCGCCAGCAGGCCTGGCGCCTCACGCCTGGCGCCTGGCGGCCGCGTGGCGGTCCCGTTGGGTCCTGCATCACACCTGGCGCCAGGCGACTGCAGGCCAGAGGACGCTGATTGCAGTCGTTTTGTGCGAGGTAAACACCTAAACACACTCCACTGTGCCTGTCCGGCAGGGTCGGGCTGTACACCCCGCGGGTGGACGAGAAGCGTCCGGAGCCAGGCGACGCGGCCTACACCAAGCCCCAGCAGCAGCCCGAGCAGCAGGCCAACGGCCAGACCAACGGCCACCACGAGGACAGCAGCAACAAGGAGAACAGCGTGCCTCCGGGACAGCCTGCGCAGCACAACTTCGAGGACAGATCGGACACCGCCAGCGAGACGGGCAGCAAGGACGGCGAGGACTGCCCGCCTCAGATCATCCCTTGGCGAGCGCAGCTCAGGAAGACCAACAGCACTCTGTCCCTGCTCGAATGACGAAATGCTCAAGCCTCAGAGTGTATATTTGTTATGTTTTAAATTATTTATTTTTGCTTCATGCAGCTCTTTCCTTTCTCAGTAGCAGCACTTTTTATGAATGTCATGTAGCGGTCAGTCGGTGCTGTGCTCAAGATGAGACGTGACTGAATTTTGTAGAACTGACGTAAAACTTAATGGACAACAAACATTTTGACTTGGGTGGAGATTGTTAGTGGTTTCTCAATCTTAGTCATCATTATACTGTCACTTACAATCTTACCCCTTGAAATATGACATAGTAATGAGGAGGGATTGCCATGTAAATTTTAGGAAAAGGCCTTGCTTGCATGATCTACAAGTCATTTGTCAAATGCCACCCATGCTATCTAGTGATCTATGCCTGTAATATAAGTCATTGTTTTTAATTGTTATTGTAGATGCCTAAGCTCGTTTGCATTTGGACAATCTTGTTTCACTTCCTTCAATTTTGAATTTGGACTATCGCAAAACGCAAACATTCAAGGCGTTTATAGCAATGCCATCACGGAAACTGATTGATTGGCCAATCACGACTTACCATTCTCATGTTTTGAAGGAAGGTATGTCAAATTTTCAAAAACTTAAATTCCTCAACTATAGAGACAACAGATTTATTTTTCACTATACCTGAAAAACAGTAACATTTGGGTTACTTGCTAAAACAGTCTTTAAAGTGCTTTCATAAATAAATAAAATGTGTATGCTCAGTTTCTCTGCACATAGTACTGCTGGTTAGTTTAAATTTCAGTTGTCATCATAATACCTATAATGTAACTTCCGCCCTGTATAAAATGCATTTATTTTAAGCTTTCAAATGGTATTATAGGCCTCAAGTATAGGTGCTGTAAATAGATCTATTTTTAGAATTTTATATAATTATCATAATGTATACTTTAAAGTAAATTTTAAAATAAAATTATTATCAATTCAACATTTGTAAGAAATTTTTAAAATGTTGTTATTAAGATTTATGGTGACCAGCACAGTGGAATCCATTTCACAAGGATGCACCACCCAGAGAAGCTAAAATTGGCCAAGATAAATTAAAACTTAAACACTGTGATTTAGCTTTTCAGGCATTTTCTGCATTTATTCTTTCTTCTTTGAGCTTCTCCTCTGACTTCTTAATATTATTCCAACTCTGTTCTTCACCGGATCCTAAGAAGACATATACAACTGCTTCACAGATGAAGAGTCCGACTGTGGTAAGAAATATTGTGCGCCACGCAGACATTGTTTGCTAAAACAAATTATGAAAGATTACTGGTTAGTAATGTAAACGTGGACAAGGGCAGTTCGTTTCAAGGCCATGAATGATTTTATCAATCGACGATCTTACATTTCCATTGGTCACTTGTCCAACAAAGACTGGAACAACAAATCCAGGAATAGTCGCAAAAGTGTTAGTAATTGCCATCAATGTACCTGCAAATATATCAATTTAATTTGGTTACTACAGGAAACTTAAAATTGATAGTATTTATAAATGTTTCGTCTTATTACCGGCAAAGTTTGGAGCTATATCAATGTGGTTTGATAAAAATCCAGAGAACATTCCTCCAACACTCATCACTGCAACTGACATCAAAACAACCACAAAAGGTCGGTCGCAGCCTACAAAGCTCACACCAATCAGACACAGAGCTGGAACTATGGAAGCTGCAAAAGAATCTGAGTCAGTGAAAGTTCATACAAAATTCTATAGAATTACAACCAATAATATTTAAAAGCAGATACCAATCACTGTGCTAATCTTCCTGGATGACGAAGTGGATAAAGAGCCTCTCTTAGTAGACCATTCCCAAAGTCTTCCAAGGAACATACTGAAAAACCACATCAATAGGAAGGGTAGCGCAGACAGGCCAGCATTCTGGAATCCGTTAAAAATGAAAAAAATGTCTTTATTTTTGCAGCAAAACGTCAGTAAACTCACATGGAACCATGCACGCACCTCTTTAATGCTAAACCGAAGTATGTGTCTCATGTAAGTTGGCAGCTCAATCAGTAACATGTACCAGCCGAAGTTGCTGCAGAAGTGAGCGACAAGGATGGCCCAGAATGGCCCAGACGTCCAGACACTTCTCCAGGGCACCGGAGGAGGAGCCTGGAACCAATGAGAACGTGAGGTGCGGGGTGAGCGATGAGTTTACCCCCCACCCACAAACCAAACGCCTGTTTGTAGGCAAAACAAATTACGACTTTCCGCCCGTATGGTAGGCCAAAAGGACGGTGTCTACAGTTACATCCCCCGAGATGGGGGCCGGCCTGGACCCGTCGCTGCAGAAAATGCTGTACCAGTTGGCTGATTAAGGGATCGTCCAGAAAGTACGCCCGTTTTTCTCATAATTATTCGGGAAATCACGGGAGCTCGGCGCCTGCGAGACTCGGGGTAGGCCGACCCGCTGTACACGTATGCACTGTAGGCAGGATGTTGCCTACCCAACAGGCGCTATGAGACCTTTCATTGGCTAGCTCTGTCAAGTAGGCACCACCCAATGGCGGTAGGAATTGTACTACTCGCCAGGAATTAGTACTCAATTAGTACTCTCACCCTGTCAAATATTAGATTTTGTACTAACAAACTGTGGGCGCAATGCGAAAACGATGTGGGGCGGTGCGTGCATGACGTTTGCACCACCCAATTGTCCGATCCCAACGAGAGACAATGCATTCTGTTCGGAAGAATTAGTACTTTTCGAATATCAACCTGGCAGAATTTGTACTACCTTTTAACACCATAAAAATTGAAGTCAAAGTTGGACGGCGCCTGCAAACTGCAGGGTAGGCAACCCGCATTACTCGCACCACCCAATGCACCTAGAAATTTGTACTGAACGCCAAAATTTAGTACTCAATTAGTACTTTCACCCTGGCCCATTAGTGAAATTTGTACTTGCAAACTAAAGCCACCATTCGAAATCGATATTGGGTGGTGCGGTCGTGACGCTGCACCGCCCAATTGTCCCACAGCCCCCACAGACAGTGCATTCTGCTCGGTTCGATTAGTACTTTCCGAGTAGTGGCATGCCAGAATTAGTACTACACGGCAACAACTCATAACTGGCGGTAAAAACAAGGGAGCCCCTGCTGGCTCCAAGGTAGGCAAGCAGGAGTACTCCCACCGCCCAATACAGCTAGGAATTTGTACTACGCGCCAAAATTTAGTACTCAATTAGTACTTTCACCCTAGCACATATTTAGAATTTGTACTGACATAGCCAGTGTGTACATTAAGGTAGTAAGTGGGCGGTGCGGGTGTGACGCTGCACCGCCCAATCGTCCGACAGCCCCGACACACAGTGCATTCTGCTCGGGTCGATTAGTACTTTCCGAATATTGGCATGCCGGAATTAGTACTACACGGCAACAACGCATAAACGGAGGTAAAAACAAGGGAGCCCCCGCAAACTCCAAGATAGGCCACCCACAATACTCGCACCGCCCAATGCAGCTAGGAATTTGTACTGCACGCTAAAATTTAGTACTCAATTAGTACTTTCACCCTGGCACATATTTAAAATTAGTACTGACAT